GTACACAGTACTCGAGGTGAAGCCGCAGCAGTGCAGAGCAGAGCGGGACAATCACCTCCCTCGACCAACTAGCAATGCCCTGCGTGATGCACCCCGGGATACGGTTGGCCCTCCTAGCTACCAGGGCACACTGCTGGATCGTATTCCACTTGATATCAACCACAGATCCCTCTCTGCGGGGCTGCTCTCCACTGTCTCATCTCCCAGATGAACTCCCCAGATGATCCCCATTGGTGGTAGGGGGGTGGTTGTACCAGATGATCTTGGCGGTCTTTTCCAACCTCAACGATTCAACGATTCTATGATTTTATTCAACCAACAGCCAACTTGAGGCTTTCCCCTTAATGGGGGCTTCCACTCTGCCCACAAGAGGGTTTTGAGGAGAACTGTGCCATGGCTGTCCAGCTTGGAGGTGACTCTGGCCACATCTCCTTCTCAGTGAGAACTTCAGGGCACGGCCCAAAACACTTGGGGCTCACTCAGGATCACTGCCCTACTGGGCACAGTCCCCCTGTGCGCCTGTGCGGACGGCAGCAGCAGCAGCAGGCTTTAAAGACCGCCAGCCCGTGTCCGCCCCAGCCTTGCCACAGACTTCATGACCTGCCGCTCTCACAGTGAAAGGCCCCGTGACATCACAGGGCCGGGCATGGTGTCAGGCTGCGGCCGGGCATCTAAGTTTGGGCTGCGGCTGGACACAGCTGCCAGTGCTGGTGGTCACTGCCAGAGCTCTGCTCAGCGTGACAGCCGTCTCCAGTGTTGGTAGCGTTCTTCAGGAGAGCACAGGATGAAAGTCATCCTGACTCTCCTCTTGGCCATGGCTCTGGCCATGGCTTCCTCTATCCCAGGTGGCCCTGGCCTTTGCAGCCACCGTGGGGACAGGGTCAGGGTCAGCAGGAGCCTTGGCCCCAAGCACCAGGTGCCCAACTGGCCCTGCAGCCTCAGCTTTTCCAGCTGCCCCAGCCGCATCCGGCTCAGGCTAGGCACAGTGGTCCCTGATGAGGGCGCGAAGCAACAGCCCCTCGGCACAGAGCGTCAGACCTCCAACCTGCCCTACCCCCTGGGCCACTTCTGGGAATACCTTGCCCAGGACGGGGGTGTCTGGATGCTTCGCAGAAGCTGGGAAGCCATCCGTCTCCTTGGTGTGGCACAGCTTGCCAAAGGCCTCTGGAGAAAAGCAAAGAGACTCCGCAGACAAGTGAGTGACAGAGACAGGTGTGCAGGACTCAGTTCTTCACCCGGAAAGCTCTCATCCATGTCCTTCACTATGCCTCTTCGCTTGTTGCTTTCAGGGAACAGGCCGGTCGGCCTCAGTTTCCGCGGGGACAGACCGCCAGGGACAGGACGCTCTAAGTGATGACAACTTGCTCTGCCGGCTGGAGGCCAATGCTGCCTTCACGGTGAGGTGCCTGAAGCACCTCTACCGCCTCCGCCTGCAAGAGCTCGGGCACCCACGGCCACGGACGAAGGTGCAGGACCAGCGCAGGAAAAGAAGAACCCCCTTGCGCTCCCCGGCTAACTTCATCTAGAGCATGCGTCCCGTGGACTGGCGATCGGAAAGGCAGCGTGGCGAGTGAGTGCTACTGTCCATGGGTTTGGGGAGGATGATGTTCCGGGAGAAAGAGGTAGAGAAACTAGGACCCATGGCTGTGGCTGGCCCCATAGGAGCTCATGTCCCAGGAGAAGGGGCCCACGTTCTGGTTGCTGCCCGTGTCCCTGTAAGATGGCAGGGGTGAGGGAATGCCTATGACCTCTTGGGTTACCCCTTGGACTTAGGACCTCCAAGGCCCATGCGAGGGTAGGCATTGCATCAGGAAAGGGGGCAGGTAGAAGGAAGTGCCTGGCTAATAATTCTGCCACTGCATTTTCACCCACGCGACGGTCAGTTCTTTTCAGAATGGCAGCCAGCTGGTGCAGCAGGAAACACCTCGGCCCTCCAAAGGCTCCTGTAGTAAAGGCACCTCCACTGACAGCTGGATGCGAACATCGCCCGGATCACCTCCTTCCTGCATGGGTGCCCCCAACAACGCCAGCTCTCCCTTGGTGGGCTGCCCAGGCCCAGTCAGCACAACAGCCAGCAGGGACTGAGCAACCACCCGATGAGGACCTCCGAGGAGAGTCCCCTTTTGCAACCTCCCAACGACGCTGCTGGGACCTGCTGGCATCCCAAAGGACATGGCTCTGCTTCGTTCCTTCACAGAAGACAAGCAGGAGCGTGCACGTGCAGCAGAGCTGGCTGAGGGACTCCAGAAAATTTCGTCTGGTAGCAGACTATTTCTTTCAGTTGAATAAAGAGTATCTGTATAGGAGCTTGTGTCCTTTCCTTACCAAGGGGCTTGGGGCAGCAGCCACATGGGAGGCAGTGGGGCAAGCGAGGGCTGCTGCGTGCTGGTTTTAGAGAACACACCTGAAGAGGAATGAGGGAGCTGAGCAGGGAGAGAAGAGCTGTGAGGTGCCCCACAGGCGCCTGTGACCACATCCTGGCAGGGTGCCCGTGTCCCAGTGAGGTTTCCTGGGGGTGCCCATGGCTGTGGAAGGTGGCAGAGGTTCATGAGTGCTCAGGACGCCATGTGATCTGGGGCTGTTAGTAGATGTTCACCTGCACACCAGCTATCAGTCGTATAGTGTAGGCAGCAGGGCCAGGGACGAGATCGCCCCCTTTTACTCAGCCCTGGCGAGGCTACACCTCGAGTACTGTGTTCAGTTTTGGGCCCCTCGCTACTGGAAGGACATCGAGGTACTTCTCTGGACACTCTCTAACAGCTTGACGTCCTTTTTGTACTTTGTTGTCCAGAAGTGTACACAGTATTCGAGGCGAGGTCACACTAGTGCAGAACAGAGCGGGACAATCCCTTTCCTCGTCTACTGTCCTAGCTTGACTCCATTCCATGTATTGTTCGTTTCGCAGCTTGACTCCATTCCCTCGGGTCCTAATACCTAATGAACCTGTGTTTATCAGCTACAAAGTTTTATACATGGTAAAATTTTCTTGAGCACCAAGAGATACAAGCTTACATACAGGTTTTAAGATGAAGCCACGATGGCAAGGATAGAAAATTGACAAATTACACATTTTTCAGGAAAACTTTTATGTTCCCTCTGTAGCCAACACAGCATATACTACACTATTAAATTGCACACTATTTAATTAATAGTGTAATAGCATGCAATCTGCAGAAAGTTTCAGCCAGGATTACACACAAACAGCAAACTTTCATGTTCGTATTAACAGCTCATTGTAGTGGCAGCAACCGGCACTCCAGGAGCACGGCAAAATCAGCTCCTCTGCTTTGGGCTTGAATTACTTTACTTCCTGGTGTTTGCTGCCATCTCATGTCTTTTAGATAGTATTGCAGCGGAATTCTTCCAGGGAACTTTCTGCGTCAAAACCGGCCGTGTCTTTAGATAGTTGTGCTACTGACATATTAAGCAAACACATTGTTTACAATTCTGAAAAGGTTTCCTGGTATTGTTCCGGCACAGTGTAGAAGTAACCTACATTCAGGAACAAATATGGTGTTTTCGGAACTAGTTGCGTGGAATACCATGCTGTGCCAGCTCTGGGCTTCCCAGTAGGTGAAAGACATTGGCATACTTGAACAAGTGCTGAGGAAGGTGGCAAGATCATCCAGGGCTAGTGAATATGACATGTGAGGAGAGACTGAGGGGGCTTGAAGAGGACAAGGCTTCGGAGTGATGTTGGCAGGTGGACAGCAGTCCACCTTTGCCTAGAGAGAGAGCACAGAAAAGGCGGAGCCATGCTCTCCTTGGAAATACATAATGATAGGCCAAGACAAACAATATAGGAATTTTGGATTACATTAAGAAGAAAAAAAAATCCCCATGAGAACGGGTCACAGAGAAGTCATGGAAGACAAGCTTGTAACTTCCTTGAGTAGAAAATTACTATTCAAACAGAAGTGGCTTCCAGCATCAGCCAAACGGGGTGGAAGACATGTACTGTGTAAACTATCATACAGCAGAAAGGCCACTTTTGTGGTTTGGTTTCCTGGAACATCTTTTTGGTAGCATAATTAACTCAAACACTCATACTTGATATGGCTGACCCAGAAATTCAGGTCTTTGTACCAAGTCCAAAGGGCTAGGGAAGCCTATAGTATAATTTCAGAAGCTTGTGCTGTCCAGATATTGAGCTCACAACTTAAAGCAAAAGGAAGGGAATTTAGGAGATTCATCCTTTATTTCTCAGTGTTTGTGGTCACATAAGTAGTGTTTTTGTTACTAGCCAACACTAACCTAAATGCACAGCCCGAAACACGAAAAGGCAGGAAGAAAGTGCAGAAAAGATTGCTTAAGCCTCAGTATGATAAAAAATATTCCTCATGCCCTAGAACATCAGCAAACTCATGGGTACTTTAAGATGAGCCCATTAAAGTAAAGAAAGTGATCAGTGAGTTGGAAATTTCTAATTTCATAGTTGGAAATGGGAAAAATTGCACCCCAGAAAGAGTGAGCATTTCACTCCAGAAAGAGTGGGCATTGGAAGGGATTGCCCAGGGAGGTGGTGGAGTCAGTGTCCCTCGGGGGCGTTTAAGGGAAGGTAGGCTGAGGCAGTGAGGGACATGGTTCAGCGTGTGGTGGGGTGGTGGTTGGACCAGACGAAACGGGACGGCTGGTCCAAACTTAGTGATTCTGTGAGAGCACTGTGCTGCTGGAACACAGGTGAGACACTGCTCTACGTAACTTTTGAGGAAGGCCGGTGTCCTCCCGCAGAGGTGTTTATATCATATAGTGAGGGACACTCTGCCCCCCCCATCCAGATGCGGGGGCTGCGGGGTGAGGTAGGAACCACGTGACCCCGCCGGGCCCCGGGCACAGCACCGCTGCCGGCCGCGTGACGTCAGCGCCGTGCTCCGTCACGCGCTCGCCCCCCCCTCCCCTCCCCACTCCGGTCCTCCTCTCTTCCCCTCCCCTCCCCTCGGGGCGTGCGGGCGCCGCGCGCATGCGCAGTGCGCAGCTGTCATCCGCGCACGGAACGAGACGTCCCGGGCGGGGAGGGGAGGAGCCGGGCGCAGCGAGGGGAGGGGAGGGCAGGGAGGAGAGGGAGGGGGCGGGGGAGCGCCGTGCGTCCGGCCGGCGGCAGCGGCACCCGCGGCGCGCCCGTCCCAGCGCCCACCCCGGGCAGGTGCCGTGGGGCTGCGGGGCCGGGGCGCGGCTCGGGGGGAGCTGGGGGCTGGGAGCGGGCCGCGGCGGAGCGGGGCGGAGCGGAGCGGAGCGGGCCGGGCAGGTGGTGGTGGCGGTGGCGGCGGTGCGGGGCTGGGGGTGCCGGGGCGGGCAGGGGGAGGGCCGGGCGCGGGGCGTGCGGTTCATTCATCTCTGCGCGCAGCTGGGGCGCCCGGCAGCCGCGCGGCGTGCGAGCACAGCCCGGGGGGGGCGAGCCTCGGCTTCAGCACCACCTGCCCGCCGCCAGCCACCCGGCACCGCGCTGCGTGGCTCCCCCGGGCCGGCCCTCTCTCTCCCTCCCTTCCTTCCCTTCCTTTCCTTCCTCCTTCCCTCCCTCCCCGCTGCCCCTGACCCGGAGCCCCGAGTGGGAAGTGCGAGTCGCTGCCCCCGGGGCGCTGCCTGCCTCGCTGCGGGGAGCCGGCCTCGTGCCTTTGTTTATGCGGAGCCGGGGGGACAGTCCTGTCCCTGCGGCTTAAAAATCCTCCCGCTGCCTCCCAGAGCGAGCAGGGTGTGCTTTCGGTGCTGTTGAAATGTAGTTTTACACCTCTCTTCCCCCCCCCCCCCCTTTCCGAGACACTAGTGACAGCAGCAACAGAAGTTTCCTGGTGGTTACTAAAATAGAAGTTTTTTTTTTAAGCTAAAACGCTTCCCATAAGAAAAAAACTTAACAGCAGCCCAGTGCAGCATAACTTTTGTCACCCTGCGGTGCTCCACGTTTAATGAACCGAGGGCGTGCTGCTGGCTGTGGTCATCATGCATGGATGTAAAAATGCATCTTGGGCCTTACCCCATTCTGCCTGGAAGTGCAGCAGCCAGCTGGGAGCACCGCCACACCTCTCAGGAGTGCCTTCCAAACACGAGGCTGGGGAAACACCAGCACGATTTGCTTTTCACTACCTGCAGTGAGGCTGCACTGAACTACGACTACTGAGCTGCTGCCAGTCATGCTTATCTTACCCTCAGCTTCGGGGTGGTGCTGATTTCTCGGTTGTTAGATGGTTAGCAGGTTGTTTGATGGTTGCCTTTTGCTGAAGTGAGGGTATGGGTGCCTGTAAGAGGAATTTCCTTTCTTGGGACCAATGCAGGAAACAATATGTCTTATCTGGATAAGTGGATGTGACTGAATAGCAGCTGAATCAGGATTAGAGCCAATGTGTGTAAGGGAATAACCTTTATTTGGTAATTGTCTACTTAAAAAAAACACAAGCAAACAAAAAAAAAACGCTTTGATTTGATCTCTGAATTTCTGTGGTGAGTATGGCAGAATAGGAAAAAGAAGTCAGGTCTTGTAATTTATAAGCCTCAGTTTTTGTTGACTGTTGAGTACAGAATTTTGTAGTTACTTTTTTAAACTTTTTTTTTTTAAAACAAGGTAAATGATTTTACACCAAATCTAAATGTACAGTTACCACCGTAATGCATTCAGTTCAGAAAATTACGTTGTCAAGTACTAATTATGATAATCTCCCTAAGCTATTACGGGCTAGCCCAGTAATTATGCAGGAAAAAGAAAATCTGCGACTTAACATCTAACTAAAAACAAGGGGATTCGGTATATTTAGGACTTTCTCAGTTCGAATGGCACTTGATTGGACTACTAAGTACCGCAGTTAACTTACTTAGAAACTTCTGCTTTTTTCTATAGGTGTCGTTTGCTAGAGTGTGTTTCTTCAGTATAATGCTGAATGAGGCATATGGTTTTGTTTAGGTTAGTTTTATGAAGGTCCTAGTCTCCCCCATCCTGAAAGTACAGGCTTTTCAAACACATTTTCAGTGTACACGGAGCTTCAAGTATAACACATCTTGCTGTAATGAATATTCTAAGATTTTAATTCAAATCTAGTGGAAACAACTTCCAAGGTAACTTGCTATTTAAATATTTCATATTTCAAAACAAATGAGCGCTATTTTTGAATTATTTTATTGGCTTTCATTTGGATTCAGAGACTGACTAATGATTAAGATATTTTAAAGAAATGCAGTGTTTTATACTTGAAGAAATATAGTAGTTGTGTAATCAAATCACAATGAAGGTTTTCATAAGAAGTTGCTGAAATAAAGTCCAGAGTGCTTTATGAATGCTTATTGTAGTTTTGGTGTATAAATTGTTAGGACAGACTTTAGGTTTCTTAGGTGGTATCATATACTATATTGCATTCTGTTGTAAGCTTGAATTTTGCTCCAACCTTTTCACTTGTTTAAAATTGCGACAGTAGGCGTAGTGGGTAAGTTCATTGTCTGCATGAGTAGTCCTACTACTGACATAGGCAAGCATTCATATTTTTTATCCTTAATTCTGTTTAATTTTAACTGTTGGGATACAGTATATTTTAAGAAAATATATATCTTTTAAGAAAATACACTGTACAACAGTAGATTAGAACAATTGCCAACATTTTTTACTTAAGATGTTGAGAGTTAGAATTAAGAACACATCGTTTTGTGAAGGCTAAATATTGCAAGAAGTTCTTCAGTGTCTAACTGGTTTCACTTTGTGATTGTCAGGCATGACAGGATATACTTCATTGAGTGTTGGTGTTTTTAAAGGAGTTTCATGAACAAAATGTGCTCTAGTTCCTTTGTGACATTTCTGCATTTAGCATGTAGAATCGGTTGACTGAGGCTGTTGTGATTTATTTCAGTAGGCTTAAGATTTTTCTGCTGGGTTTTGTCTAATTAAAGTTTTAGTTGTTAGCAGATACCCTTTCTTTGGGAGAACCTTGGCAAACACGCCTGGTTTTAATAGATGCTATATGGCAACGATTACACTGGTGGACCAGGTTTTGTTTCACTTTCACTGTTAGTTCTTTGCTTAAAAGGTAATTTATAAGTGGCTTAAGTTGTAAATGAGTCTATGGTTTTGGAGATCGGTAAATTGTTTTAGAAAAAAAAAAAGATGGTAATTTTGATTCAAAATTAAAATTGAGAGTAAGTTTAAAAGTCTGCAAACTGAGTTATGAATGAAAGAACAGAAATAAAACTTGAAGAGTTTTATCCCTAAACATTAGGGATTTTCTTAACGTTTCAGTTTGATTCCAATTTGGAGTATTTGATCTGAATAAATGATGGCAAATACTTCAAAAGTGAGATTTGTAGGAATATTTAAAGTTAGAGAAAATAGAAGAGGAAAATAACTGTTGTAACAGTTGTCAGTTTTAGTGCTGTAGCTATTCCTTTAGTGCTGTAGGTATTCCTTGTGCAAGTTGCTGACAGTGGGAAGCTCACAGTGTTCTCTTCCAACCCCTACAGTTCTGTGATTCTGTGATTCTCTTCTCACTGTGGAAGTCTCGTCTGGATTTACTCAGATACAAATCTTCACAGGTTGCTGCTATACAAATGTTAAATGTATGGTTTTACAAGTTCTTCCTTGAACTTTTTGCATCACAAAGTGGTACTGTAGAGCTGCAAGTACAGCATAGGCAGAGTGCTGGCCTGTTCTTCTTGCTGCTTACACCTGCTAGAATATTGTAGATCAGAGCCAGCCTGCCAGTTCATTTTAGGCTGTCTGCCTCTGCTCTGGAAAAGGTGGTATCGTTTTGGTGGCCTGTGATCGTTCTGGAGCGAGGAGGCTCTTGGTTGCCTGAGCTGAGGATGTGCTTTCTCTGCTGCTGTGAGTCTTGTAGCAAACTGTGGAAGTGTGCAGTGCCTATTCCATGCATGTGCTCTTGGTCGTGTAGCTCACTTCGGCTCGCGTACTTCCAAGTCACAACAGCAGAAGGGCACGTGTGACCCTTCCCTGGCTGCTTGGTATTGGGTCTCTGGTAATTTAGAACAAGATGTAAGGGTAGGGGAATTGCATGGCTTCTTTGAATTACAAAATCTTTAATGAGGGGTGAAATGCTCACGGGGAAGGTCACAATAGCAAGTCCTGCACTGTGGTGGTTCTACCTTGCCAGGCAGCTGAACTCCACCACGCTGCTCTCTCACTCCCTGTCCTCAGAAGAGGAGGGGAAGAAAAAGAAAGAAACATCTCATGGATAAGGATTATTTAAATAAAGAAAAAAAAAATATTAAGGGAAAATTATTATTAATTAAAGAATTTAACTAAAGGGAAAGGGGAAAAGGGGGAGGACACCACAAAGGCCATGTGGAAATGCAGAGGAAAGAAATTACTCTCTGCATCCCGCAAATGAGCGATGCTTGTCCACGTCCTTGAAGCAGGGCGTCAGCACACGTAGATACTGTTTGGGAGGACAGGAGACCTGATGTGGTGACGGCACTGCTCAGCAGCAGACACAACACTGGTGTGGTATCAGGGCTGCTCTGGCTGCATGTGAGAAGCACAGCGCGGTGTGGGCTGCTGCAGGGGAGTTAACTCCGTCCAAGCCAGACCCAGTACCTGCACCCATGATGAAGTCTGTAGCTTTGGGGGTCCTCTGAGTGACATGGGGGATGGGGAGAGAGGGGGAGTAGTCTCTACAAACTGAGGAAAAAAAGACAACATTTTTTACTTTGTCTTACTTTGTCCTGTCTTTGTTCTTCACCTGATAAAGGGTTTACCGTGTAATGGCAGCTTCTGAAAGAATATCACTGTTCACCTAGCATGTTCCCGAAAAGAATGCATGAGGTTTGATCTTAAGGAGTTCTGAAATCCAGAATGTTTGTGTACAAGAGTAGCTTCTGGGATGAGATCTGAAAAGGTGGTTAGTAATCTGCCATAAAGCTAGGGAGCTTTTCTGGGAGTTGCATTCAGTGTGAGAGATCCGGCAGGACTGTGTACAAAGTACCTTTAGGATGGAGCTCACTTGTGGTATCCTCATCACAGCTGCGAATGCAAACAGCACGTCTGCCACCTGCTGTCTGTATCCCCAGCAATGTTATCGATGCTGCGTTATCAGTGAATATTCTTCTGAACTTCTAGGGGCTTGTAAATTAGCTTTTCAAAAACTGATTTGTGATTTCTGTGAGGACTGCACCTACATTTGCAAATGCTGATGCTCGTTTGTGTGAATTCATGGTTTACTTCCATGTTGAATATTGCTTGTGGCTTTGGCACCCTTTTCCACTAACTGAGTAAATTGATAAAACTAGTTAAGATCCAGAAATAGGATGTAAGGATGATTGGAATTAATGAAATGGATTTTCTGCAAGGAGACTAGGAGCCTTGAGTCTTGAAAAGAGATGACTGAATGATCTGGTGGTAGAAATCATTATGCTATGCATGGACTGAAAGTAATGGAAATGATAAACAATTGTTTACAGCATGCATGTGAGATGCCAGATGAAACTAGAAAGTGAAATACTTAAAGCATACCGGAGATCCTTCATTTAGTGTATATTGATTGTGGAGGGCTTTGTCAAAAGTTTTTTTGAATATTAAAGGCCTACAAAGTTTCTAAGTCACGAGCAAAAAAAAAATAAAAATCAACAACTCAAATGAAAAAATATCCTGTTTGCCTCTGTATTCCTGGAGCTGTGAATTGCTGAAGACTGAGATGTTATTCTGGAAAAGTATAAATATGAGCTACCCCTTAAACTGCTTTTTCTGAGAGACCTGCTGTTAGCATCTGTGAGAACTGGATAGGTTGGACTGGCTATTACTGTGCCTAGAGACTGTTACATGCTATACTCAGCTTGGACTACAGATTTCATGCTTTTGTTTTAATCAAAAGCCAAGACCTCTTGAAATACTGGTTGCAAATAAAAATGAGAAAAAAAAATATATACTTTTTATTACTCTGGATTAGTTCTTTTAAGACATTGTTGTGTGCTTTGAGCTTGGTGTGGGGGATGAATGTCTATAGAATTAATTAGGTCATTTTTCAGTTCAGTATTTATGCATTCAAAATAGGTCACTTTTTGTATTTTGGAAATAATTGCTTTAGGGGTAGTACCATGACATAGAAATACAAACTCGAAATGAGGTTTGTCAAACTTCTTAGAGACTTATAGTGAAATTAAGATGACTTTAAGAGCTATAGAATAAGGTCACTTATCCAGATCTCATGTTCCTTAAGCTTTTGTAATTCATCATATACTTTATATAATTTGTAATTTATATAAATATACATTTATAATTTATATTTATATAATACATCTAATACTGAGTAGAAGGGAAGGATCACCTCTCTAGATCTGCTGATGATCCTTTGCCAATGCAGCTAGGAATACTATTAACATTCTCAGCAGCAAGGGCATCCAACTGGCTCATGTGCAGCTTGGTGTCCACCAGGACCTCCAGGTCCTTTTCTGCAGAGCTGCTTTCCAGCTGGGTGGCCAACAGCATGTGTTGGTGCCTGGGGCTGCTCCTCTGTAGCTGGAGGTTCCTGTCAACTCACTTCTCCAACCTGTCTTGGTCCCTCTGGGTGACTGTAGAGCCCTCTGCTGTATCAGAACACAAATACATAATGTTTGTATTCTCTGCAGTTATTACGGAATTAAGCAGAAGTAGTAGCTCTGAGGGTGGTTGGACAAAATTGTATGTCGGAGAGGTATTGAAGTATTGACACAACAGTTTATGGTTAACAATTCCAACTACTGTTTTTTGCAAAAGAATCTTTAAAGTTAATGCATGACTTTGGTTAGGAATTGTTAGGTTTAGAAGTGCTTGACTTGTTACAGGCCAGTTAAGTGAATAAAATGCACATCTGACAAGTTCTTGCCTTTCCAGTGAAGGAAAGAATATTATTGATTAGTAAAGACAAATTCATAAGTGGGGCTGCTGAAGTTGTTTGGTTTTAAAAAACAAGAACAAACCCCCCCAAAAAAGCATGAATCAACTCCCTCTGCTTCTGCTTGAAGTCCCCCAGAACTGAACTGACAATATTAGAAAACAGCAAAGAGTTTAGGGAAGGATATTAATCTCTGTGCTGTGATGAAAAACCTAATGACTGCAGTCTGTCTTGTATACATGTATAGTCAATGAAATAGGATGAAAGTGTAAATGAAAATTAATGAAATACTGTTAATTTCTTTCCAAGAATAAATAGCAGGTTCTTTTAGAGGTGCTGTGTTTGTGGGTACTACACTTGTGTGCATGTACGTTTAATACATGTAAACCTGAAAGTCTAAAAGCTGATTAAGGAGAGATCAAATATCCTGCTCAGTTACCCTTTTTCAAGTATCACCTCATTGTCAGTGAAGAATTATAAATCGTAGCCATTGTATACTGTGCTGTGCAATGAAGGCAAGCATAACCTGTGATATAAGTGGCTAATAGCTAACTCACAAGCAAAATCTAAGGTAACAAGGTGTGACAACAAAACCATGGATGCATGTTTTGCAGATGGAGAAAAAGAGGAATGAGACAGCAAAATCACTAGAAAGTTAGCCAAAGCTGAGTTATTTGTATTTTGGAATAAGTTTTTTGTAAGATAAGGAAGTAAACAATAGGTTGTACTCCTTGTTGGCACATGGTGAGGTAGAGTTGGAAATTACACCCGCTGAAGCTAAATTATATCTGTTAGTGGCACAAAGACCAGTCTTTTCATTATTTCTGTATCTTAGTATGAAACAAAAATATTTCTTTAACCATCCTTAATGTAGTCATGAAAATTAAGGGAAATGCCAGTCATCTTTCTGTATCTACTGCATGCATTGATTCTGCTGAAAAGGCTTTGGAGAATGAGGGGTGATACAATTGCTGTTGAAACACTGACATGTGAGTTAAAAAATCCAGGTGCTCTTTCCCTACATTTGCAGTGTGACTAAAAAGTCAGTAATCAATTTCCCCATGTGCTAAATGGGAGTAATGATATTTTATTACTAGTGTAGCTTTGCTGCTCTAGGTTATACATGTGTAATGTAATTTTCTACACAGAGAATCTGTGGATGGATCAACACAGGAAGATGCTAGTATGATGTTAAATGATAACTTGAGAAAATCTGTTGTAAATTCAAACTGGTACGTTGCTTATGGTAGTGTCCCTCCTGGGTGAGGGCCAAGTAGTCTTCAAGGAGCAGGGAGAAAAAGTATAAATCCTTTTTGTGCCTTTTAGGCATGGGCAGGGAATTTTGAAAACCCTTTTCCAATTTGAAACATGTATTGAATCTCAAATATTGTTTAATAGAAGATTGTTCTCTTCAGTATATGTAATTACTTTGTTATTTTCGGTATATGTAATTATTGTTGTTTTGTTTTATTTTTCAGTGGAAACTGAGCCACAATGGAGGCTGTCGTCTCAGATAGTCCTCCAAACCCAAGTTGCAAAATCATGACTTTTAGGCCTTCGATGGATGAATTCAGGGACTTCAACAAATACTTAGCATACATGGAATCACAAGGCGCTCACAGAGCTGGAGTTGCAAAGGTATGTAGAAGGAAAATTGTTCCTAATGCACATTTTCCTAGTATTTTTATTTTACTGATTGCAAAACTTACCTCATTAGGACTTAACATTTTTTTCCCAAATGATTTTCAATGAATACATACTACTCTATTTTTCTTATAAGGGCTTTGCAATATTTTTGTTTTATGGAAAATAATGAAGATACTGTTCTCTTTCCAACTTTCCGTTGTTTCTATCTTTACAATGGCAAAAGGCATCCCTTCCTAAGGCAGATCTAAACTATTTTTTTGTAACGCAGAACTAAATAGGGAAGTGAGAGCATAACCTAGAAAATCCTTATCTATCTGATGTTGAATTCATTCCTTTGGGGTGGCATATAATTTCTCTGAAGTAGATAATCCCACTAGTCAGTGGTTACATACGTGAAGATAGTGAACCACTGATGGAATTTAAATTGTTTACTTTATAATGGTGATTGTGTTATATTTTTATTCTGGCAGTATCACTTAGATTGGAAAAGACCCTTAAGATCATCATGTCCAACCATCTACCTCACTGCCAACTCTGACCTCTGAACCATGTCCTTAACTGCCACATCCATATGTTTCTTAAATACCTCCTGGGATGGCAACTCCACTGCTTCTCTGAGCAGCCTGTTCCAGTGCCTAACCTGTGTGAAGGAACCCTTCCTGATAGCCAGTGTAAACCTCCCCTGGTGCAACTTGAGGCTGTTGCCTTATGTTCTATCACTTGTCACATGAGAAATGAGACTAACACCCACCTCACTGCAACCCCTTCTTGATAGTTGTAGAGAGCAGTGAAGTCTACCCTCAGCTTCATTTTCTTCAGACAAAGCATCCCCAGTTCCCTCAGCTACTCCTCATAAGTCTTATTTTCTAGACCCTTCAGCAGCTTCATTGTTCTCTGCACAAACTTTAGCAACTCAGTATCCTTCTTGTAGTGAGGGGACCAAAACTGAACACAGTACTTGAGGTTCAGTCTCACCAGTGCTGAGTGTAGAGGGGCAATCACTTCCCTAGTCCTGCTGGCCACCCTGTTTCTGATGCAGGTCAGGATGCCATTGGCCTTCTTGGTCACCTGGGCACACTGCTTGCTCATATTCACCTGGCTGTTGACCAGTATCCTTGGTCCTCTGCTGGGCAATTTTCCAGCCACTCTTCCCAGGCCTGTATTGCTGCCTGGGGTTGTTACAATCCGAGTGCTGAACCCAGCACTTAGCCTTGTTGAATAGCATATAATTGGGTATGACCCATCGATCAAGTCAATCCAGATTCTTCTGTAGAGCTTTTCTACCCTTAAGCAGATCAGCACTCTTGCCTGACATGGTGTCATCTACAAACTTACTGACAATTACACTCAGTCCCTTCATCCAGATCATTAATAAAAAAGTTAAACAAAACCAGCCGCAACACTGTGCCCTGGGGAACACCACTTGTGACTGACTGCCAACCAGATTCAACTCCATTCACAATGTCTCTTTGGGCTTGGCTGTTAAGCCATTTTTTTTTGTCCAGTGAACAAGCAGTACATCGGTCCAAGCCATGAACAACCTGTTTCTCTAAGGGACAGCTGTAGGAAACAGTATCAAATGCTTTGCCAAGGTATAGGTAAAAAACATCCACGGTCTTTTCCTTGTCCACTAAATGGGTTGTGTTATCGTAGAAGATCAGGATAGTCCATCAGGACCTGCCTTTTGTAAACCAAGGCTGACTGGGTCTGATCACCTGGTTATCCTATATATGCCATGCAGTGGCACTGAAGATGATCTGCTCCATGACCTGTGACACCGAGGTAAGAGTGGCAGGCCTGTAATTCGCGAGACTCTCTTTCCTGCCCTTCCTGTAGACCAGCATCAAACTCAAAAACCTCTGGTCAGCTGTGATTTCCCCTTTTTAGCAAGGACTGTTAGCAAATTATTGAAAGTGGTTCAGTGAGCAGTTCTGCTAGCACCTTCAGCATCTTTGAGTAGATCCTATCCAGCCCTGTGGGGTTGTAGTGTTGTTGTGTAGTAGGTTGTTAACCATTCCTGTTTCAATTTTAAGGGCTTCATTCTGCTACCTGATTTGGTCTTCCCACTCAGCAGGCTTGGAACCCACAGAACAATTGGCCTGAGTAATAGAGGCTGAGGCAAAGAAGGCGCTAAATAACTCAGCATCAAGTGCACTATCTACCATTGTATTGCCCTTCAAGCAATGGTATATCCAGGATCGTAGAGCAGGTATTCCTTCCCTAGTGGAGAGTGATTGGCAGAGACAGTTACTTAATGTTACATCATATTTGTACCTTACCGTTTTGTCACTTTTCAAACCAACTGCGCACAGTGCAAGTTTGGAAATCCAAGCTTAGTTATTTTAAGTACTGGGAACAGCTCTTTTCATCACAGGGTTTAAACTAATAGAGCAAAGTGAAAACATTTAAAAATTGAGAGGAAAGAAACAAACCCTCTGAGACACTGAACCATGCAAATTTTAAAAACTTGTGGTTGATTTTCTTGCTGACTTCTGAGGGTAGGGTGCATATAGGTGATATTTTAAACCACTCTCCACAAACGAGTAGAAATGTGATAGAAAAAACAGGAAAGCCTGAGCTCAATTTTCACATGTTCAGCCATACTATGGAACCTATTTGTATGTGTGGGAATGAGCTATTACAGACTTCTCATCTTGAACAGTGAAGTTAACAGCAAATTCATCATAGTGACATCTATTGCTCAACAGATCTACCCCATTAATGTGTATGTGGGCAGGAGATTCTGTCTGCCCAACAAGTTAACTAATATTTTCTTGCAGTAGTATTAACAACAAAACTTCTTTTAGAAACAAAACCAAGCTCATATTTCATCTTAAAGGGAAATGAAGTAAACTGTATATTTACCTCTTTGACAGTTTTCATGAAATGCATAATCAAAGATGATACTATAATCCTTAAAAAGGCTATGCAAAGATATGTTCTTATTGCTTTGATCATAATAAGAAGAGCTTCAGTTATTCACTGTCATGAGGGTAGGAAGGCTCAGCAGAGGGATCTGGATAGGCTGGATTAATGAGCTGAGACTGACTGTATGAAGTTCAACAAGGCTAAGTGCTGGGTCCCTTACTTGGGGCACAACAACCCCATGCAATGCTACAGGCTGGGGAGAGAGTGGCTGGAAAACTGCCTGTCAGAAAGGAACCTGGGGGAATTGGTGGACAGTTGGCTGACTATGAGCCAGCAGTGTGCTCAGGTGGCCAAGAGGGCCAACAGCATCCTGGCTTGTCAGGAGTAGTGTGGCCAGCAGGTCTAGGGAAGTGATTGTCCTCCTGTACTCAGCTCTGTTCAGTTTTGGACCCCTCACTACAAGAAAAACATCGAGGTGCTGGAGCATGCCTTAAGAGCAGCGAAGGTGGTGAAGGGTCTAAAGAACAAATCTTAACAAGGAGTGGTTGAGGGAGCTGGGGTTGTTTAGCTTGGAGAAAAGGAGGCTCAGGGGAGATCTTCTTATACTCTGCAATTACCATAAAGGAGACCACAGCAAGGTGGGGATCAGCCTCTTCTCTCAGGCACTAAGTGGTAAGACAAGGGGAAATGGCCTCGAGCTGTGCCAGGGGAGGTTTGGGTTGGATATTAGGAGAAAGTTCTACACTGAAAAGGTTGTGAGGCACTGGAATAGGCCACCCAGGGATGTGGTTGAATCACCGTCCCTGGAGGTTTTCAAGAAACATGCAGATGTAGTGCTTAGTGACATGGTTTAGTAGTGGATTTGGCGATGTTAGGTTAAAGGTTGTACTTGATGATCTTAGAGATCTTTTCCAACCTAAATGATTCCATGATTTTTTGTGTGTTTGTGTGTGCTTGTTCTGTTCTTACCTGTTAAAGTCTGAAGCAGCTAGAAACCCTGTTCAGTGTCTTCTTGGTACAGGTTTTAAGCACTCCTCTGAGGCTGCTTGTATACTTAAGACTGACCAGGTGTCTAAAACTTAAGTCCAGTGCACTAGCCATTTGTACTTTAGGATGTCTTAGGAAAGAATTTCTTGGCACTCTTGGTTGCAAAATTTCAGCCACTAAAAGTGAAGAAAGATAATGAATTTGTCTTTTGAAATAATGGAAAGATCGTATGTTTTCAGTTCATTGGTTGAAGACATGATGACTGGGGCTTCAGTGATTGTTCTCATTTGTTTTCTTATCTCTGTTTTGGTTTCTTGTCTGTCATCCAGCAATTAAACGAAGGTGTAAAGCCAGATGATATAAATATCAAGAAAATATGCTGTCACTTACAGTGTCACTTAGTGCTTAATGTGTTTGGCTTTGTAGATTTTTAACTTTTCTGTAAAAATTATGAAGTTGAAACACCTTAAAGGAACACTGTAATGAGGCAAACTAGTAGTAATCTTTTAAGTTTAGGCATATAAATGTGTGAACATAACTGTTTTTTTAAATGCTAGATGGAACAGTGATTTCTAGCAGATGTCTTAGTATTTTAAAGAGTAGTAGTGCAGATGTTGGCTGTGGAATAGATGCAAGCATATAACATACCTAATTTTAACACTAGCCTAGTCAAAATAGAATCTGTGAAATGGCAATTACGACAATAAAATAACAGAGGTTAGGCTGTGGTTTTTACTTATTCTTTCATATTTACCCTGGTGCAATGCTGCGAGACTGTATATTAGAGTCCTGTAACTCAGTTGAAAACGAGTGGGGAATACATTTTAGTAATGAAATACTTCAGAGCTGTAACATGTTTCAGGATTAGGATGAAGAGTAGGTGGTAAATTTTAGGTTGTATATCTAGCTAATGCTTTTTGAACTATATTAATTCTTAAATTTTCAAGGTGTGTTTTTTCATAGGTACTTAAATACAAAATGAAACCTGAAAATTATTTCCTGACAAGATGATGTGCTGCTTTCTCAAGGGCAAAACTTCCATTTGTTTTTGCCATCACCGAACTACAGCTATTTATTTTGTAGCTTTACCTTGACTGCCATTCTTGCTTCACTTCTGAATTAGGTGATTATTAGAT